CCCCAAAATGTGATGCACACACACACACACACACACACACACACACACACTGATGAATGGTTTAGGGGCAACCCAGGGGTCAGGGGTCAGGACTTGCCCAAGGATGCCTCACAATACAAACTGGAGGATCTGGGGATTGAACCGCTGACCTTGTGGCCACCTTCATACTCCGTTTAAAAACTATTATTACAACCATGCATATCTGAACTGTTCGGCTTTCAACTTAACGTTGATGAGAAGAATTCACCAACAAGCCAAGAAACCTGCATAACTCTGAACGATTGTATTTTTCTTATCAGACTGTCCTGTTACTTTTGGACAAACTCATGCATGTTTTCTGGCAGCAGAAAAGTTTGTAGTAAGAACAAGAAAATAATTCTCTAACTTTTATTAAATGCACTTCAGAAGAAATCCTGGCATCTGGACTTTATGATGTCAGAGGTGGATGTGGATGTGATTAGGAGACAACAGCAGTATGATTAAGGCAAACTATTGTTTTAAGCCCAAACAGATGGATCATCAAAACAACTTGAAGCATCTGTGTATCCTTGGATCCCTCAGCACAAACACAACGAACACACATAGACGATGTTAGCCTACATTAGCTGAGTCATTCCTTTTACTACGGCACAGATCTGAGCATCAAGTCTGATTTCTGATTCAGCATTAATGAGTGAGCTGGTATAATCTGTTATAACTGCCTCTGTGAGCCAGCCTGTCATTGCTGGTTGGAGGATAAAAAGGAAGAAGGATCATTAGCAGGTTTCTTTACTGTATTTAGATGTAATCTGACCACATGTGGCCACGTTAAATTACTTAATTACATTCAGCATCTGATTTAAATTGTGGTTAATAAAACTATCTCTGAGGAGTCAGAGCTTAGCTTTAATATAATGTATTCTAAAAACACACAGGTTCAAGTCACAAAGACGAGGGTGTCATTGGGCTTTTGGAAGTCTAAGCGAGACCTTGTAGCTCCCGCCTTCTGCTCCTCCAGGGCTCAATAAGAGGGAAGTTAAGCCCTGAATTAAACACTTGACTTCAGATTTATTTAAAGTGAGCTTTTTTGTAAGAAAACCAGCGAGCATGTATTAGCTGAAAGCAAAAACATCCAAAAGAAGAGAGCGGCGCGGAGAGAGAGGAGTGCAGATTATTACAGAGTAGCATATTAAAGGGCTGCGAGGAGCTGAGTGGGTAAATGAGAATACTGCACGGGAAGCTTTCATTTACTTTTGTTTAATAAACTCTGGAGCTGCGTATTAAAAGTGACGCTGGGAAATTATAGATATGAATACATGCAAATAATAACAGTAAAGCTGCAGGCCTGTCAGCAGTGATGCTGGTGTGTGCAGGCTGTGTTTGCCAGTCACATATAAATCATACCTCAGACAGCACGGCCCTGCTGACAGAACGGCCTGAGGACATGGACCCTGTTGCTGTATGCATGATTAATACCGTATATAGAGACACGATGTTGTTCACTAGCAAGGATGCCACCTACAGTGGGGCAAAAAAGTATTTAGTCAGCCACCGATTGTGCAAGTTCCCCCACCTAAAATGATGACAGAGGTCAGTAATTTGCACCAGAGGTACACTTCAACTGTGAGAGACAGAATGTGAAAAAAAATCCATGAATCCACATGGTAGGATTTGTAAAGAATTTATTGGTAAATCAGGGTGGAAAATAAGTATTTGGTCACCTCAAACAAGGAAAATCTCTGGGTCTCACAGTTGACGTGTACCTCTGGTGCAAATTACTGACCTCTGTCATCATTTTAGGTGGGGGAACTTGCACAATCGGTGGCTGACTAAATACTTTTTTGCCCCACTGTATGAAGTTTCATTAGATTTTCTGCATTTTGTTTCAATCATTTCTATCATGCAGCAGTTAAAAATAAAAACAGGTGGATGGAAACACGCCGACAGTCTGCGTAAACCTGCTACTGTCACTGTGCATGACTGCATGAGGTCGCTGTGTAGCCAGCGTGTAGGCTGCTGCTTGCAAAGTTTATGTTTTGTAAAAGTGGATTACAGATGCACTAAAAGCACAAAGTGAGGTTTTCATATTTATATGAGTCGTACATTTATTTCTATTTATGATTCTGTTTTTCGCTCGACGCACACACACACACACACACACACACACACACACACACACACACACACACACACACACACACACACAAGCACCCTGCTAAAATTTACCCTAGCTGCACTAGAAGCCTCCCCTACATAGAAATATATCAATGGTGCTTCACATGAGTGAAAACGTGGAAAAATCATCCAGGGAAAATCAACTAACGCCGGGCCCATGTGCGCCTGGTCTAATCTTAGCTGTCCAGCAAACCGTTTAAATTCCTACAGTATGCTTTTAAAAGGTCCTGGGTGATAAATGGCCGACAGTGAAATGGAAACGGAGAGAGGGAGAGGATGAGGGACAGCCTGAGACAGCACGCAGCAGAACACAGTGAATAAAGGACAACAGGAAGCGTGAGGTAAGACACTGTCGGGGTTAGCGGCAGAAGAAAGAGGCATGCAGACAGGAAGTGATAGATGGTAGGACATTGATCAGAGAACAGAAGAGGAGCAGCAACTATCCAATCTATCACCATCACCTCCAGCAGTGTCCTCCTGTCATGCTCCTCTCCTCAGTGACTGCACTGCTGGCAGGTCGCGCTCAGCCCCGAGAGCCACAGCTGCACAGAATGTGCATCTCCACAGTGCTCCAAAATGTGCCTGATTTAGTTGATACTGCAAAACGTGTACACTTTCCATCCTTTCCAACCATCTTTTGAACATTAAGTTGTTGAATTGATTTTCTACCTTCGAGGCACTCATTGGTTTCAGCTCACTTGCTTGAGATTGGTAATCCATCACAGTGAACATCGAGGCACAGTTTCATTATCACAGCAAGCAGGGTTTCTTTGAACGTTCCCCTCTCTGATGCAGGCTGTTTGAAGTCAAGAAGACTCATACCTGTGCAGCCACACTCGCTGGTTCACCTACAGCCTGCTTTACATGCTGTAGTTTCCAGTTTTCTCATGAAAACTAAACATATTGATGATACACCGTCCAGATAAAAAGTTACATTCCAAGAAGGTAAAACACTCGAATTCTAATTGGAGATAAAGTATCTGAATTTCAGGCGTGGGACCTCGCCTCCAAACACACGCCTGCGCCTCCCCACACAAGCTGTTCATCTTGTTCGGCCCTACACTGTAGAGGCTCTGGTATTACACAAAGGGAACAATCAAAAGAGGGTCAGTTCCTCTTGCTGGCAGGACATGCAGGGTTCAGCTTGACAGAGTGTGACGTCCAGCACCAACCTGGCTGCACTCAGTTCTGTGTACATGCACGTCTGTGTAAGGATGTCTGCTGTACCTGAAACACTGCATAGACCAATCCTATAGTGGTACCTAATAATTTGGACCAACTGACGACTCGTCCCTCTGATATTTGATAGTAACCTTTTGACTGCAGCACGCTGTTATTTTAAACTAAGAGGTGACCACACCTTTCAGGACGCAGCGCCTGCAGCCCTCCTCAGCTCATCAGGTTGGCTGAATGAGTTTGTTTAAAATGAAACACATTGTTGTATGTTAGCATTTCCTTTCATCTTGCATCCATTATTTCGGTCATACTTTATCTGTATGCTGCATTCTCTCTAATGCATGTTTATCCAAACTGGAGCATTTTGTAACCGTGTGTTTGAAGCAGCACACCGACACAAGTGAAGATTCATCTGAGAGGGACAAACTGAACTAGACCGAGTGCTGAACTTTATTTATTTTTTCTACTTTATGGGACAATTTTAGACTTTTCAGGTCAAAATAATAGCCATCACTGCCAAATCCTTCTTCTGTGAGCATTAACAGACTGTGCACAGATTGTTGCAGTTTTCACTAGACTCATTTTCCCATGAAATATAAAACCTATAAGAATATTCTATACATGGTATTATTAGCAATGACTTTGTTAGTGCCATCCTTTTAAAACATTTGCTTTTCTCTGGTCCCCCTTCAGTTCAGTACAGCTTATGAACGCAGCACTGTTGGCAGCTACATTTAAAGTGCTGCCAAAGCTTCTTTTTACCCTTGAATTAAAAAGCTCTCTGGGTGATAGGAAATCGTAGCAAACATAGCATATGCTCAGGAGTAATGTGCAAAAACACTGATATGGTTTGATTCATTTGATTTTATCCCAGCCATCGCTCTTAAAGTCATTCATATGGTAGGTGTTCTCTATTTTATGTCCTTTGCTTCTTTAATTGTAAGCATAAACCGACGAGGCTGAGGCCTGTGTCTGCATCTCCTTCTGATTTTTCCTGCGTCAGTCTCTTCACTGTAAACTGTCCGGTAAAACTCGAGCCATTAAAATGGCATCACATTATATGCTTTAATTTCATGCTGGCAATCACACTGTTATGGCAGGCAGCGTGCGGTCAGATGGTCGTCGTCCTGTAAAGCGTTTTAAATCGTGAAAAATGAGATGAAGCAAGGTTTCACTGGCTGGGACAGACATGACAGCACTGTAATAGTCTCGCTGTTTATGCGATATGAAAAAATGCTGCAGAAAAGAGCTTCTAGTAGGAGTTTGTCATTTCCTCACTGTCCTTGAAAAGGGTAAATTGTGGGACCTGAGAAAAACCTCTGTCCTTTCTTGTGATTTATTGTCTGCTCTCATTTATGATACAATCGGGATGACTTATCACCTGAGGCCGGCAACATTTCCTGACCAAGAGACGGAGAATCAATCATTATGCTGAGCTTTCACAAGCAGTCAGCTGTCTCCTCAGGTAAAGACTGAGCGTCAGTCCTGTGGGCACCAACAGTTAGAAAAGAAAAAATCTGCCTTCTAAACATGCAGGCAAAAACAAATATAGGCCTTCTTCCACCGCCTTCTTCAGGCGAAAACCTGGAGTAAAATACAAATGTGAAAACAGATGCAGGTGGTGATAAGGAGATGACAAGGGCGCTTATGGAAGTGGGACAGTGTCCTACCTGTGTGGGGTTGTAGAGCTCCTGCAGGGCATTGCGGGATCCTTTCCTACAGCAGCCTTCCACCATGAAGGGGTTCCTCCGCATGACTGGAAAACAGATGATGCTCCAGTAAGAACGGAGGACATTCAGACTTACTGCAGCTGTTCTGACACAGCAATCATTTTGACAGCATGCAGTGCAGAACACACGTCATCCTGTATAAAAACATATCGTTTGGCTTGGATTATTTTTCATGCAGCTATCAGTGTGAGAACGCCAGCTGTTCGTGGAGGCGACACTTGAGGCTGGCTCCAAGCGTCCATCCATCCTTTCTATACAGTCTGTGATCTCAGCTGCTCAGCAGCGGTGACTGTGGCCACATGTGGTAATTACACAACAGTAATGCCTTTTATTCCTCACACTGAACACGAGTCTGTCTACATCCAAGGGGGCTGTTATCCTTTGACTGATGAAAGATTAAATCCCAGCTTCCCTTTATTTTTTACTCCCTTCCTTGAATATCCCACATGTGGAAGCATCACCTTGAACAACCAACTGCTGCAAGTGGCAAGCAAGTGGAAAGCTACAGGGATAAATAATGAGAGCAGTGACTATATGCCAAGGGCAAAGCCACAGTTCAGTGTTTATTTGGCTGGATCTCAGCTCTTTATACAACTCGATACAGAGCAGTAGCTGCTGGCACCGGCTCAGTGGGAGCAGCCAGCGCAACACTTTGCCTCGGCCAGCACACTCTCTCCAATTACTCTGGACGGAAAAGCGCGCAAGAACGGCGGAAAGGAAAGGAACCGCTAACGAGAAAGCCGAGGGTTTAATAGCACTTTGTTCTGCACGTCATCTGCCTCGTGTTCGTGGATGAACGCGTGTTCTTGCCATCAGGAAAGCTAACGATGAGAATAACAAGAGATGTACATTCATTTCTACGGCGAGTTTCCATCTGTGAATCAGGTTTCACAGCATGTTTGCCAACCACAAAGCAACAAAGTAGGATTATACGTGGACAACAGAGTATGTTTAAAGCACACTGATACTGTTCAACTGATCAGGGGTTAAAATAATAGTCAGACCTGTTTCTAAACACCACAGACTTCTTATGGGTTAGGAACTATTATAATTATATGAAAACAAAGCAGTCAAACACACAGTTTTATATACGCTGTATGTTTGAAATGAATGGTCCACAGGCCTTCTGCACACAGGCCACCGGGCTCAGAGGCTGAGGAAGTCCAAGAAAGACAGAGGTGCTGCAATAAAGAGGAACAAAGGGATGAAAAAGACAAAATTACCAGAGAGACACAAAAGACATCAAATACTCCAAAAGAAAACTGAGAGACACAATGTGATTGCAGACAAAGTCACAAAAAACCTGCTGCAAAACACACAAAGAGAGACAACGCAACGATGAAATGATGATGAAATAATGAACAAAACAGCAGAGATGCAACGAGCAGTGGAAGTAAATATGAATGAACACAACCACAAAGTTCTGCCACAAAGAGATGCAAGAAAGAGACTAAATGGCTACAAAGTGCAGCAACTGGACCACAGAAAGATGCTATTTCGAACAGTTTTGTGATGCTGTCAGTTTTGCGCATGACATGGAGGGCGTGGCTTCTAATTAATGATCAGTTATTGGTTAATGATTCAGGATCAGAAGCCAGATAAACACCGTTGTCCTGTTAGACCTACACTTTATGAGGGTGTGTGTCTGTGTGCTCGTTGGTCATGCTGCAAATCTGCTGTGCAGAGCTGATAATGTCACAATGGATATTTGCTCATCTGCAGCATCTAACAAATGTGTTGAGCGCAAAGATGTAGCCTGTGTACACAATATCTGATGAAGATGTCGTTGCAGTGTCATCATCATTGTTATTATGAATGTTATTTAGTGATTCATTTTTCCTGTTGCGGAGAACTTTCCGTCAGGACTGATTGAGGGGCGTGTCCTCGCCTCTCTCGTCCTCCGCGTCACAAGAGCATCAAAGCAAAAAACTGAAAAGGAGACTCTTGATTTTTTCAAATCCTGCTTAAAAATTGAAGAATGGGGTGTGATGGGGCTGGAACTGAGCACGGCCTGGATCCCTGTAAGAGACGTGTAATCCTCTGTTCACACGAATCCTTTGACAGAGCCCTAGGGAGTGAGCCGGTGCTTGTTAGTGTAACGAGCCCCAGCAGACAGCAATGACCTTCAAACACCAAAGGGAATGCTAGACAGAAAGGAGGGATGCCTTTACACACGCTATGTGCAATTAACCATGCACAGACACACACGAGAGCGTGATTGATAATAGTTTTGTGAAAGCTGGTCTTTAATAATGCAGTTCAGCACTCCGTCCTGCTGTGGATGTTGTAAATAGGCAATTAATGCTGGCTTGGAGAACAAGAGCTCGCAGCACAGTAACGCAGTTGCATAGTATTTGCCTTTTAGGTGCTTCCACAGGCCAGCTCAAACCCAGCACATACACACACGTCTCCAGCACCAGTAAGTCAGTACAAGCTGAATCAGCAGACGGTGGGCCACTGCTGATTGCTGTGGACACAGCCCTGAGGTGGGTCTCAAGGTATTAAGGATTTAGTGTCTGAGTGTGTGTGATTGCACTGTGTTCACTGACAGGTTGCACAGCTGGGGGGATTCTTATCCACTAGCACCAGTGGACCCAGTGCTAAGTGGAATGGAGGCCATAATAAATCAGGCATCGGTAACAGTCACTACAATTGAAGAAGAGGCTTGAATAGACATAAATGAGCTAGTTGTATTGTGGGGACCTTTCACTTGTTACTCCACATAAGAGCACTGTTACACATGTAACAAATCTTATTTACTACCTCGGAGAAAATGATTATATATCTTAGCACATGCTCTTAGACAACTGGATGCAATAACATAAGAGAGGAGGCTGAAAGCAACCACACAGAGCACAGAGGAACGCAACTGCAACGAAAAAACACGCAAAAGCCTGAGACAAACCAGAGAATCAATGAAAGGTATGATTTTACTTTTTAACAACGTGGATATTAGTTAATATGTACAAAGATATAACATCA